AGACTGCAAAGTTCTGCTGTCTTGATATATCCTGTTCACCTGTTGCACGCTGCATCCTGCTCTTATGTCATGGCACTTGCAGAACAGGGAATGTTCGCACGCCGCCGCACAAGCTATGTTGCACAGAATATGTGCTTAGACTGCCTGCAACTCAGAGTTTTTATTTTCTTCACTGCGATTGAAAAAGATGTACCTCTAGGTTTTACAATCGACAACAGTTTCAGGAAGAAAATTCATAGGAAATGTTTTTTATGGAAATGAGAAAAAACGGTGCGCAAAGCGGGAGGGTGTCTTGGAATAGCATGGGGCTGTGATAGCCTTAGAGTGACTTTCCAGAACTACGGCGGTTCTTGACCTTAAAAAATGTGCGGGAGTTAAACAACACTGGAAGAAGTCGTCAAAGCCCCTCCTAAAGCGGTTTTGAAACAGTGTTCCAGTTCTGCCTCTTGCTGGTAGATATGAAGCCATCTAGTATTCAAATATTGCGGCTGACTGAGGCCCGGTGATCGGATATTTCGGAAGTTTGTTCGAAACAGAATTCATCCTCACTGCTCCAACAAAGGATTTAATAATTTAAAACTACGGTAAAGCATACGCCATTCGGTGTTCAGTATGCACCTGCAGAAAAAGTACTCTTGCTTGAAAAAAAAGGAAAAACAAGAAAACGACTGATCCATGTAATTTTGAACTCGATAAGACTATTGTGGCCAACCAAGCCCATGTATGCTTCTGAACCCGACACCGCTATATATTCCTGCACGCTGTTCTGCGGTAGCTTCACTTAAAGGAACGAAGATTGTGCGCACTTCTGGTTCAGGAAGGAATAATAGACCTTAGAAGAATAAGAGTAAAAGCTGCCATAAAACTATTGAAATGAGGTGAAGCCGATTTCAGTGCTTGGCTTCTACAAAAAGCAAAACGAGCGTTAAACACCGTTGATTGAGGTACGTTTCACGTCACCATTTGACATTTTCGCGATTTGTAATTTCTCTTGTAGCTGCTCAGGGATTTTCAGCTTCTTCGATTTTTCCCAAGCAAAATGCTTCTTTCCAAAATGACCATTGCGTGCCGTTTCTTTGTATATTGGCTTCAGCAGATCCAGTTCTCTGAGAAATCACTTCATTAAATTTTTGAGCATGTAGCTCTTTTTTTGTCTGCACTTTTCTGTGAGATTTACTGCTGCTCTAAATGCTATAAAAAATGTTGGAATTTTAAAAATCGCAACTATTAAGCTCAAGTATTTACTGAGATGCAAACACACGCACGTCCGACACGGCCAAGTGAGACCTTACGACCTTAGCTGCATGTTTCCACTTTGGACACGTTCGACCCTGGCACCTCTGAACGCCACCTGAACGAAGCTTTTTTCTCATTCAGATATGAAAAACCGACATGCACTGCCCACTTTTTGTCAGCAAAGAGGGCACCTTGCCTAACTTTCACGGTCACAGCAGTACTCAACATATCATTCGGCACAAAAGATCATATGCTTCAAAATACAAAATGACCTCTTTTCTTTACTGCTGCCAAAGCTCATTTTTATGCGTTTTGTGCTGTGTAACAGCAGTACAAAACGCATATTGTCACGGGGTTGTCT